TCCCTTTCATCGATGTCTGAATAAGATCTATTATATCTCGGTATTCCATGGGACCGAAATATACCTAGATATTTATTTATATGGTAATCATCTGTGGGTAAAAGGTACGATAATTCCCGTAGAGAAAGACCCACCGAAAGCACCCTTCCGATTTCCAGGAAATAAAATTGGGGGCAATAAAAGATTACGGGTTTTGGACATAAAAAAGAATTGTCAATCGAGATATATTTAATAGCAAATGTGTGATAAGTCGAGAGATTTTTATAATATCCTGCTTATATATCTTCGAGTAGATTCGCTGTTGTCATCTGTTAATTGTCTGTAAAATAGATGTAACTCCGTATACCTCTTCTTTGACAAGCTATATCTTATCAAGTTTCGGTATAAGAAATTATTATCTACAACCACATAATTAAAGATATAGAAAAATGATTGACTGTCAATCACAAGAATCACATACAGATAAAAAAAATATATACATTTCTCCGAATAAAAAAAAAATCCGATACTTCCCCCCCCCCCAAAAAAAAAAAAAATCAAGCAACTGAAGATAGATAAAAAAAATACCCCCCTCCCCCAACATATATGAAAAAAAACGTAAAGATGAAAGGGTCATATATAAATCCCACCATGGATTTTTTTTTGTACTTTTCTATTTTTTTTTGTACTTTTGTAATTTCCCTGCTTCTGAGGGTATTCTGCAGGGAAATGACAATAAATTTACAATAAAGCAGGGAAATTACAAAAAAAGAAGAAAAACAATAAAGCAGGGAAATGACAATAAATTTACAATAAAGCAGGGAAATTACAAAAAAAAGAAAAACAATAAAGCAGGGAAATGACAAATTTACAATAAAGCAGGGAAATTACAAAAAAAAAGAAAAACAATAAAGCAGGGAAATGACAATAAATTTACAATAAAGCAGGGAAATTACAAAAAAAAAAGAAAAACAATAAAGCAGGGAAATGACAATAAATTTACAATAAAGCAGGGAAATTAGAAAAAAAAAGAAAAACAATAAAGCAGGGAAATGACAATAAATCTACAATAAAGCAGGGAAATTACAAAAAAAAGAAAAACAATAAAGCAGGGATATGACAATAAATTTACAATAAAGCAGGGAAATGACATTAAATTTACAATAAAGCAGGGATATGACAATAAATTTACAATAAAGCAGGGAAATGACATTAAATTTACAATAAAGCAGGGAAATGACAATAAATCTACAATAAAGCAGGGAAATGACAATAAATTTACAATAGAGCAGGGAAATGACAATAAATTTACAATAGAGCAGGGAAATTACAATAAACTTACAATAGAGCAGGGAAATGACAATAAATTTACAATAGAGCAGGGAAATGACAATAAACTTACAATAAAGCAGGGAAATGACAATAAATTTACAATAAAGCAGGGAAATGACAATAAATTTACAATAAAGCAGGGAAATGACAATAAATCTACAATACATTAAAAAAAAAAAAAACTTGCGCTTCCCGCTGCTCGTTCGTTTCAGGACCCGAGGCGATCAAGGTAAACAAACAAGAGGAATCAACAGCCACTTGGCGACCCACACGCCCATTTTTCCCTCGTTTTGACAGGTATTTACTCGCCGAGGGGGTTCGGGAGGCCATGCAGGGACGAGGGGAAAGTAGGTAGGAGGAAGAGAAGGAGGAATAAAAGGCGTGCGAAGGAGAAGAGGAGAGAAAAGAGAGGGAAAAGAGACGAACCCGGTAGGATGTCGAGGAAGGGTTTTTTGGAAGCTGGGATTTCACTTTCGGGGATTTTTTACCCTTTTCTTAGCGCCGGGGGGATTTATTTGTGTTTTTTCTCGTTTTTGGCTCCTTTTTTTGAGGAACCCGAAGAGCTAAGTTCGAAATCGTTGCGCATCTTGAGGATATTAGTCGAGATAGATATTAGTTTCCAGTAGAACCGATTTTGGGAAATTTGTTTTCGTGTGTCCTTTTTTTAAGAGAAATTTTGTTTGTATTTTTTGGACAACGTTGATTATGTGTTTATTGAGGGAAGAAACTACAAAAAAATTGATTATGTGTCTATTGTCTATTGATTATGTGTCTATTGTCTGTGATTATGTGTCTATTGAGGAAAGAAACTACAAACAAAATTGGTTTCTATTCATTTATGTACTTTTTTTCCTATTCCCTGAATTTGGCAGGGTATTGATATTAGAATTGTAAAACTTATGATTAATTATAAGTAAGCATCAATATCAAATGATCCTATGGCATAAAATATTACATTACTCTGCTATTACATGGAACTGTCACAACTATTGAAATGTGATGTTTTTCTGAATTGTGCTAATTAATTTTCTTGGCCATTGATGTAGATTGCAAGACATGGTTGCTTCAGGAGGTTGGATATGATTTTGTTTAAGGTTTGTTCTCGGAGTGATTGATATCCAACCAATTGAAAGGAAATCTTGAGAACTTGTCTGCATAAACCTCACTAGTTGAAGAAAGTTGAGTAAAAGCTCGTATCTGATAGTGAATAGATGAGCATAGGCAGCATAGTAATCATTTCTAAAACACTATCTAAGTATAGGAGAGACTCTAATTTGCATAATTCCCTTCCCAGATATGGCTCTATGCAATTTATGTTTTTGCCTAGATATTGCCATTGTTGTTGTTGCACTTGATATAGTGCCAAATTTGTCACTTTGGTGAAGGTGCAATATATATTCTGCAAATAAGTTTCACGTAGGAGTCTAGGGGAAGTATCCTAGTTTGAAATTTAGCACAGCTATTGATTCTGGAGAATTCATTATGAAATATTTGAATAGAATAGTTTGAAAGACAGTGAATTATGTAATCTTATCTAGTACTGCCATAAATGCCATTAAGATATACTAAGACTATGTTTGTTGTCATGATCAAATTGCATGCATATGTGTATGTGTGACCTAGTAATGATTGGAAGGAAACTTGCTATCATTTGTTATTCTATTAGACACTGTGTCGTGATCAGTTGTGTATTTCTGTTTTGTTGACTGAAACATTAAATACAAGAATGATATAAAGTACCTCATTACTTGTGTATTTTACTTGGGCCTGATTTTTATCCCCTTGTTTGTGGGTGGCATCTACTGTGATACCATGGCAGTGTAGCACAGATGCCAAGGGTGGCATCCCTACAGATGCGGCTCTTATAGATAAAAAAAGTATATGCACATTGGTTTAAAAAAAACTTTGATTGTGTTGGGTCAGCTGATATTCAATAGTAAACTATCAAAATTACATTGACTTTGATTTGGTTAGGAAGTGGATGTTGATTTAGGAATTTAAGGAATGAGGCTTACTACTTATAGAAAATAGACATATAGACATGTACATTATTCATGCTGAAAATTTACATTGAGTCTCCTTTGACCTTTTTGTAGAGTGATTAACATGAAAACTAAAGAGAGTTGATTTATTAGTACCTTTATGTAAGTGGATATATATATACATTGGTACATAGACATTATACAGAGTACAGTGTCCATCTTGCCAGATAGAAAATCCTACCCAATTTGTCAATGCTTTAATTTGTTATTTGTCTCTACTTTCATTTGTATATCCATTTGCAGCTTTTATCACTATTCATTTGCGTGTAAGGATCATTTGTGAACTTAATGTGGTAGTCATTTCATCCCTGCTCAAGAAGCAATTACAGTATTATTATAATTTTTTACCCCCAATAAGTAATTACTCAGAATAGGACCCTCCATACTTTGCAATCTTCACCCTATATAGTGATCATGAGCTTGGGTTGGTTCTTTCATTGACAGTACATTCTTCGGTTGAACCTGTCCAGTTGATACGTGCTTGTAGTGAGGATACTGAAGTCACAGACAGCTTTGCATACCTTGGTAGTGTATTCATTACTTGTCTGTCAGACCAGTAAGTCAGTAAACAGATTGGCACCAAGTACTATGAATTGGCTCGATAAGAGTACTTGAATATCCCGGTACCTGTGTATGTGTCTTTAAGGCCATGATACTACTTTGAAATAAACCCTGGATGCTACCCTGTGTCTTGGAGTCTCATCTTGATGCCTTTTGCAATAGGTCTTGCACTGGATCATAGGATACAGCTGGCATGACTATGGGTCCAAGCAATGGTTACACTGTGAGATCAGTGTACTACTTATTACGTACGTAATCTGGGACTGTAACCTCAAGGTATATGGGTTTCTTGCTCGACTCCCTGAGGACAATCCCAGACGGAGGAGCCCTGTAGGACAACCAAGTTGGGGCATGGGCAGATTGGTCAGATCTTTTGTGAGGAGTTAGAGAAGGGCCGAAGACCTGTTTTGCAACTTGTCATGTGGGACCATCATGAATGGAGATGAAGGATGGATCCCCTTTAGTGCTGGCCCTAATGACTGATTCATTTATTTATTTATTTGCCTTTGTCAGAGTACAAAGAATGGAGGCCACACTTTATATGCATATTTCTTTGTGTATTTTTTAGCCATCAGAATAATTTATCTCAATAAATTTTGGGGCTTATGCTGAATATTTTCCATCCAATTACTTTTTTTTTTTTTACTTGGATTATATTATAGATGATGAGTGATTGCTAGTCACATAATCTTATTGTATGAAATATTTAAGTTCATGTTTGCACATGGAGGACTGTATGCAGATTAAAGATATACATATATATGACCTACCCACAGACATTATGACGGCATGTGACTCATGAATGAGGACGACAATAACACACAAGCAGCATGTCCATGATCGTAGGTCATCGGCAAAACAGCACTCACTCAACCAGGAAGAAAGTTCAGGTTGGTCCTTTTTTCTTTAGTCAGCATAGTACTTTTAACATTTTTGATGATATATTTAAAGGTTGTGTTTGATTATAGATATCATATTGTTTGCATCAAACTAAATAAGAGAAAATTGCTTTATGTAACATTATCTGGTAGAACATCAAGTGATACCAACTGGGGAAGTGTAGATATCTCTACCAGTTCTTATTGT